TAGCTGGGCCTGGTCTTGCATGCCTGCAAGTCCCAGCTACTTGGGAGTCTGAGGTGGGAACACTGCCTGAGCGGGGGAGGTGGAGGCAACAGTAAGCTGTGATTGCACCACTGCACACCAGAGCCTGGGTGACAGAGCAAGACCCGGTCTCAAAAAAAAAAAAAAAAAAAAAAAAAAAAGAATACTTACTTAGTTTTGGTTTAGATTTGCCTGATTTTGAATCTTGTAGACTTAAAAAAAGGAATAGAATGGAATTCATTTTTGAGTAGGTACTATATCTCTGCAGCACAAAATTCAAGAGGTACTTCAGCATCTAAAATGAGATTAAGTCAATAAGGTTTAAAATCAGGCACCATTCATGTACACATATGGTAAAAATGTCACTTTACCAAAGAATAGGCTTTCTTCTCTTCCCAGTTTTCTCATTTTTTGATCTTTCCAAAGGAATTTCTGTGCATACTAAAGAATGTATGGGCCGGGAGTAGTGGCTCACGCCTATAGTCCCAGCAGTTTGGGAGGCTGAGGTGTGTGGATCGCCTGAGGTTAGGAGTTTGAGACCTGCCTGGCCAGTATGGTGAAACCCTGTCTCTACTAAAAACCCAAAAATTAGCCGGGCGTGGTGGCACGCACCTGTATTCCCAACTACTTGGGAGGCTGAGGCAGGAGAATTGCTTGAACCGGGGAGGTAGAGGTTGCAGTGGGCCGAGATTGTGCCACTGCACTCCAGCCTGGGTGTTATAGCGAGACTCCGTCTCAAAAACAAACTAAATGCATGTAGGATATATCTGTAGACACAGATATATCCCTTTTGGTTTACCTACGTGGTCAGCACAACTTAGTATTATTAGTATTCTGCATCTTGTTTTGCTTTGGTTTGGAGACGGACTCTTGGGATGTCACCCAGGCTGGAGTGCAATAACATGATCTTGGCTCACTGCAACCTCTGCCTCCTGGGTTCAAGCGATTCTTTCGCCTCACGTCCTGGGCAGCTGGGACTACAGGTGCGCACCACCATGCCCCGCTAATTTTTGTATTTTTAGTAAAGACAGGGTTTTATCATGTTGCCCAAGCTGGTCTCGAACTCCTGAGCTCAGGTGATCTGTCCACTTTGGCCTCCCAAAGTTCTGGGATTATAGGCATGAGCCACTGCGCCTGGCTTCACTCTCAATTTTTTAAAATATTACTATGACTTTGTGCAAAGCCCCTCACATTTGCAGTACCTTTGAATCCTTGCCAAATCTCCATGAGGGGCTGTAATTCCCCACCTTTATGGCTGAGGCTCAAAGACAGGTTAAGTTGCTTGGCCAAATTTTATAGCTAGGAAATAACGATAGGATTCGAACCCAGTGCTTATAGGAATCCAGAGCCCACAGGGTTGCCCACTATGCCAAGCCTCCCTTCAGGGCTGTCCCATAGAAGATGATAGAGATATTCAAGATATTTATTTTTTCCTTTTTTTTTTTTTTTGAGACAGAGTCGCCCTCTGTCGCCCAGGCTTGGGTGCGGTGGTGCAATCTCAGCTCATTGCAACCTCTGGCTCCTGGGTTCAAGCAATTCTGCTGCCTCAGCCTCCTGAGTTGCTGGGATTACAGGTGCACACCACCGTGCTCGTCTAATTTTTGTATTTTTAATATAGACGGGGGTTTCATCATGTTGGCCAGGCTGGTCTTGAACTCCTGACCTCAGGTGATCCACCTGCCTCAGCCTTCCAAAATGCTGGGATTATAGGCATGAGCCACCGCGCCCGGCCAATGATAGGGACATTCTATGTTTGCACCGTTCAGTGCTGTCACTTCTAGCCCCTTCAAATGTAGGTACTGGGATTAAGGAGCTGAATTTTACATTTTATTTTAATTAAATTTAAGTAGCTGTATGTAGCTAGTGTATCCCATGAGACAGCGCAGCCTTAGAGTGCTTTCCGGAATTTGTTTTAACTGACCTACCAGGCTATATACACCTAAGGGGCTGATTCGATGCAGGCTCCCCCTAATCAACCTTCCATGATGTTTGTGGAATGAATGAAGGGTTCATGGAGAAAGGGGGCCAAGGATATCAGCAAAGGTTTCCTAGAAGAGGCCATCTGGTTACAGTGTGAACACTTGCAGTGTTAGCCCTTAAACCACTCTCTCTGAGTGCCTGCCAAGAGCATGGCACTGCATAGACTCCTGGGGATACCAGTTGGATTTGAGGTTGTCCCACCTGCTCAGATCTTACAAATAAACTTCTCAAGGACAAATAATTGGTGATAGGGTAGGAATCCTGAGACGCGGACATTCACTTTCAGATATATATTCTACTGACAGACTCAAACGCAAAGCTGCAATCCCTTATAGCTCTGTTTGCAATAGAAAGACTGAAAACCATCTAAAAGGGAACTAATTAAATCATTCTTGCATCATGTATCTGCCCAATGAAATGCTGTGAAATCATTAAAAAGAATAAGGTAATTATATATGCTGATATGGAATGATTTGATATCCCTAAATTAAAACAAAACAGGGCCAAGTGTGGTGGCTCACGGCTGTAATCTCAGCGGTTTGGGAGGCCGAGGCAGGAGGCTCGCTTGAGCCTAGGAGTTGGAGACCAGCCTGGGTAACACGGCAAAACTCTGTCTCTACCAAGAATGCAAAAATTAGCTGGGCATGGTGGTGCACTCCTGTAGTCTCAGCTACTTGGGAGGCTAAGGTGAAAGCATTGCTTGAGTCCAGGAGCTGGAGGCTGCAGTGATCTGAGATTGTGTCACTGCACTCCAGCCTGGGCAACACAGCAAGACCCTCTCTTAAAAAAAAAAAATCAGGAGCTATGATAATCATGTATGAATATGAGAACAACGTCAATTTCTTAACAAGATTCTGGTTTCTGAGAGCTCCATCCAGTGTCCGCCCTTTCCTTGGGAAGATGCAGGTCCATCATCCTACCCAGCCCCGAGTATGCCCCAATCGGAGCTGCATCTTGTTTTCTTCTTGTTTTCTCTAGCCGCTCTGTCTTTGGGCACAGAGTTGCTCAATCAGCCTTTGATGAATGAAGAATGAATGGGGGTAACTCAGGCAGGATTTGACTGGGTCTTTTGTAGGATCGAGCAGGAGGGTCCAGGAAATCATTATTATGTTTCCAATACAACCGGCCTGGTGTTTTCCTGCAAGAAAAAGTACATCTCTGGGATAAGCACCTTCACCTTCTCTATTCCCTCACCTACTCTCCACTTCTCTGGGACAATTAGCCAACACTGGGAGCTCCAGGGTCTTGGCCCTTCCCCCTTTGGTCCAAAATAACCTCCTCCCCCGCTTTGAGCAAATGCTTGGAATTCTTTCAACTGGAGGACAAAGCCTTTCATCTGCCAATTACTGATAAAGAGAAAATGCAAATATCGAGGGGGAAGGTGATTCATCAAGGGCCCAACATTTATTGAGTGGCCACTTAGGACCTGGTGGCAGGACAGGCATTCTGCGGGAGGCCAAGGGGAACAAACCCCTGGCTGGCCCATTCTTTTCTCGTATTTGTGGTTTCCTCGAGGTTTGTAAAGGGAGGGGATTAAATTAGGTGACTACCCAGCCCCTTCCACTCTGACAGGCCAGGAACTCCTCATGGAGGTGATAGATGACTTAACTGTAACAACTTTTTACACTAAGGTGGCTGCCATTGGAGCTTTTTCTGATGCCAGCTTTTGAGGCCACCATGAGGCCACTTGGAGAGAAAGAAGGGCCTCAGGGAGAAAAAAGAATTAATTAGATCAAGCATTCTATATATATACATATATATATATATTTTTTGCCTTATTTCACTTAATTCACTTTGCATCACTCTCCAGCCCATGCAGCCTCCTTTGAACATGTTTATTTCATTATGGGGCAGTAGTGAGGCTGGTAAGTTACTAAAAAAAAAAAAAAAGAGAGCACGTGACGGCCAAGCCAGGCTCCAGTGTGAGCCCTTGCAGCGGCACATACACGCTTTGTGATCCTGGGTGAGTGGCTTTGCTTTTCTTAGTCCTAATTTCCTCCTTTGCAAGATAGGAACGAACAAGACGATTTCCCTTAAAGGGTTCTTGTGAGACAGACAGGAACAAATAAAATGGTCCACGGTTCTGGACGGACTGAAGGCAGAACCCGCAGCACTCACACTAAGGGCTACTGATTGGACGCAGTAGCCAATGTGGGCGATTTCAGTTGGGAAACAAATTTTGATGTTTCCCAGCCTCATCCCTGCTTAGAAGATTTTTACAGCTAGTGAACATGAATGAAAACAAACTTCAAAGAGTAGCCTTTGGGGGTGGGTGGGAAAGACTACAGACAGATAGGACAGGAAACTTTTAAGGTGAGTGAGGGGGAAGCTGTCTCTTAGGATGGCCAATAGGATGCTGACAGTGACATCCAATCTCCCGGTGGGGAAGCCACGTCCTCCCCACAGGTCTGTCTGATAGCCTGGGGACCATACGGGAGCACGGCAATCATTCAGATTCATAATTTCTCTAAGCTTCAGTTTTCCCATGTGCAAAATGACCTGCTCCAACTATCCCACAGGGTTAATGGCAGAAATAAAATGTCAGGCTCAAAGCCTACGATCTACAATGTCCCTTTATTGTCGCTCTCTTGCCATGTCATTTTATCAGTATCTTTACCCCCAAGATCAGGCCTAGCAGGGCGCCGCAGCTGGGGCTGGAGGAATGTTTAGGGCCAGCTTTTCTCAAGCCCAGTCCACCTGACTGTTGCTCATGAAGTGAGGACAAGGCAACCCAGGACCAGTGCCGGGGTAGTCAAAAACATTAGTAAGTGGACAGGAACCTAATGACACCCATGTATGGAGGGTGCCGATACCTCCGCTAAGAAGCCCTATAGGATTAATTAAGGGGCACCAGAGTTCCCCCCACCCATCCCAGAGCACCATGCACCTTTCCACCGACTTTTCTCCTATAAATGGCCAACAAGGGCTTACCCTTCGCTCCTGTGCGGGCTGCGTTAGGAGGCGCCAGATCCAATTCTCTTCGTCTTTCGCTCCTGAGTATCTATCTGCTCCCCTTGCTGAGCGCAAGAACCTTTAAAAAATGTCCAACTTCTGTCTCAGGGCTGGTCGCCTAGTAAAGGACTCCACAGAGGCGTGCAGAATGAATGAATGAAAGGCAACGTCTTCCGGTCAGCTGCGGTCTGCAAAGGCTCTGGTCTGGCTGTATTTCCTGTACGTGTGTGTGTCCACATCTTTTGAGTGCCGGGAGTTTAAAAGTTAGGCAGTCCTTATAGGTATGGAGCCGAGCTAATTTCCTTCTGAGCCCCACAAATGCCTCCTCCATATGGCAGGTCCGCAAATGGGGGGATCTGCAGAGGATCACCCCTCACGAAAAAGACATGCAGCAGAAAAGCAAAAAAAGGAAACAATTATATATACAAAATGCTATGAATTTGAGTCGGCCACACAGGTAATGTTGGGGGAGGGATGGATGAAAGAAGAGGAAGAGGGGTAGCCCTGGGCAACAGGGGCAGGAACGGAGGTGGGGGGTCGTTTTTGGGGGTGCCAGGCCCCGGGGGCTTTCACGCCAGCATGCTCAGCTTGCATTTCCGCGCCTCCCGCTGAGGCCAGCCGTGCAAATCTGCACCTCCCTCCCCGCCCCCTCCTCCTTCCCTCCCTCCCTGCCCCGCCATCTCCGGGATGCGCCCGCCGCCTGCAACTCGGCCCTCCAAAAGTCAGCTCTGCACACAACTCCCGGGCGGCGGCGGCGCCTGCGTGCAGAGGCGCACTCGTGACCCAACAACAAAACAGCGATGCCAGGGCGCTAACGGCGCCCGGTGCCTCCCGGGCTCCCTCCCCGCCCCACACCTCCTCGGGCCGCCGTCCCCACCCCCCCAAGCCCGGGCCGAGAGCCCCCCCACTAGCCCGGCCGCGGGCTCCGAGCGCGATCGGCAACAATGTTTACGTTCCGGGGATTATGACGTCGACGCCTCCCCCCCCCACAACTGCTGAAAATGGTTTCCTAGGACTTTGCAAACGGATCTGCCTAAGTGTTGGTGCAAAACTTTGTAGATCTCGGCTCTGGCTTGCTTTATTTATTTATTTTTTGGTTTGTTTTCTTTGGTCTTCCCTCCTTCCCCCCTCGGCCAAAATGCAGGGGGCAGGAGTGTTGACAATTAATTGGTGAACTCTCCTAAAAAAATGGAGGCAGAGAAAGACTCTGGAAGAAGATTGGTGTGTAGCTTTTTTTTTTTTTTTTTCCAAATCTGTATCTGGCATATGATAGATCTTTTTTTTTTTTGGTTGTTTCTCGCTGCCTTTTCTTTCCTTTTCTGTATTTTGCAAGAGGACCGGGAAAAAAAATATAATAAATTGCATGCAAAAGGAAGCAAGCTGCTTACTCCTCCAGCCCCTTGTGAGGCTTAGAGTCTCAGACACTTAAGTGGGGAGGTGGTATCGGGGAAAGGCGTGGAGGGGGGGCTGAGCGGGCTCGGGGTTCGCCCGGAATCTGGGGGGCTGCGGGGCCGGGCGCTGGGTGGTGGAGGGAGGAGGCAGGGGGATGCGGGGAGTGGTGGGGGAGTCTCCTTAGGAAGTGAGTGTGCGCGCGCGCTTGTGGGGAGATGAGGCAGCTGCTGGTGCGTTTTGGGGTCTCCGATCGGAGCTTTGTGGCGGGCCGTCTGCCTCTCCCCCTCCCAAGCCCCGATCCTCCTCCCCCCACCTCCTCTTCTTGCACTGGCGGGCGGGCGGCGGGGGCGGCTGGGGTCTCAGCCCTTCCATTTCAGCTTTCCAGCTTCCCCGGTAGCTCGGGGGCGGCTCCAGCTTTAGAAACGCTGCCGGCCCCCGGTTCCGGCTTCCCGGCTCTGCCGCCGCGGCCGCCGGGGCTGCTGTTACCGCCGAGCCGGGCGCCGCCGCGGCTCCTCCTGGGGCCTACATTTGCCCCGCCAGCCCGTGTCCGGAGCCCCTTTCGCGGGTTACATAACCAGGCTCCCGGCCGAGTGGGCAAAGCCCAACACATTTCGGGGGCGGGGGGCAGGGGAGGGCCCCCAGATGTCCCTTCAATGGCTTCCAAAGACACCGGGGGGAGTACCCCGTGTGGAGCGCAGCTGGACCCCCGGGGTGCGGGCCCCTCTCCTTGTCCTGCTTTTCAGCATCTTTGGCAATTGCGCAAAGTTGCTTGGGTTGCAATGGTGGGGTGCAGGGGGCGCGCGGCTGCTGCACCTGTTAGTGCTGGCCCAGGTTGAGAGGCGACCTCCAGCCCCCCCAGTAATGTCCCGGGCTCTCTGGTTTGGGTCCTCGCAGCGCCCGATTGACCGCCAGCGATACGACGAGAACGAAGACTTGTCGGACGTGGAGGAGATCGTCAGCGTCCGCGGCTTCAGCCTGGAGGAGAAGCTTCGCAGCCAGCTGTACCAGGGGGACTTCGTGCACGCCATGGAGGGCAAAGGTGAGGCGCCCCCTCCCCGGGCCGCCTTCTGCGCTGCGGGCCGAGCGCACGTGGGGAGGGAGCTGCCGGTGGCTGGGTTCGTATTTCGCGCCCGCGTCCCCCATTCCAGGGGATCCGGTGACGAAACGAGGCCGAGCACTGGGGGGGTGGGGTGGGGTGGCGAGGGAGGAGGGCAGGCAGTAAGGGGGGCCGGGCATGGGCCTAGGCCTGGCCCGCGCCCACCACCAGCCCCAGGGTGGGCAGAACCAGGGGGCCGGCGGACAGAGGGACCTGGGGATGGACAGGCGGACCGAGGGAGGGCGGGAGCGCCGCGTCCTCCCCCTCCCCGAGCCGGTCGCGCTCCCTGCGCTGCCTGAGGTGCCGCCGCCTGACTGGAACAGGGTTCGGGTCGCCCCTGGGGCATCGGGGTGAGGCCCCCCAGGCCTGAAGCCTTCCCAATCCCGTTCCCGCTCGGGGACTGCCAGTGAGGAACTGGTGATCGGGGCGCGTCGGGTGTTCGGGATGATGCCCCCTTAGGCCTGGGGTCTGCAGAGCCGCATTCCCGCGTGGGCTCTGCCAGATTGGATCAGGGACCTCATGCGCCCTGAAGCTGTTGACCTGAACCCCCACCTGGGCCCGAGCTGTCTAGTGCTACAGCCTTGACAGGTTGAAGCCAGGAGCTGGGGTCAGAGGGTGACTTCCCTTCGGGCTTCTGGGGGAGATCCCTGTCCCCTGGCAGTTTGAAGTGAGGAAATGGGTCTTCTTCTAGGCCTGAGACTTGGAGAGCTCTGTTCCTTGTAGGCCCACCCAGTTGAGAGCGAAATTTGGGGATGCCTCCAGGGTTTTGAAGACCTTCATGGCCTGGGTTTCTCCCTGGCTCTCCTACTACGAGGGTGGTGGGGGTCACCCTCCAGATGTTAAGGTGATGCCCTGGGTTGCCTCTGAGGCCTCCAGAGCCCTGGCCTTCCCAGCCTGCAGCCAGTGTGGCTCCTGGTTTAGGAACCTAGCATTGCCTGCGGGATTGGGGTTTTGAACATGCCCTACCTAGCTTTCCTAGGCCCTTCACTCATTTCTCCTTTTCAGATATTTCAGTTTCCTTTAAGTTACAGAGTTTCTATTTTGTTCCCCCCACGCCTGTTGGAAAACCCTTCCATCCCTCAGTGAGCTGATAACCTGGAGTGCCTGCTTCCCTCCTCCAGGTTCTGGTTGAGTGGCTGTGGCTGTGGGGTTAGCTCTCAGAAGAGACTCCCAGCTTTGCAGTTTTGTGATTTCTCTTTTGTGCCCATCGCCTCCTGGGGCACTGGGCTCCGGTGGTGAGGGGTAGTTGTTGGGGGAGGGAAGAAGAAACTTCTCCCAGCCTGCCTGGTCCTAGAGCAGGGTGCTAGTCCCAGCTGATTTAAATTTTCTCTGCATAAGTGGAATTTTAATTCCTCTCCTTTCTTCCCCCATTTTTACTGAGTTGAGTCGTTTGGCGGATCCTACGTGCAAACAATATGCAAACTTCCTAGTCATTTGGGAGGAATTCTCAGCCCAGGATTTCAGAGCTTTTTCTCAGGCTCATTTGAGGAAGTTGAAGCTGACCCTGGGGGATGGGGTGCTTTGGGTGGGTGGGTCTGAGGGCCGGTATTCCAGGCAGGGAGAGCTAACGCCTATCCTTAGATCTGCTGTCCCGGCATCTTTCAAAGGGGAGGGCCCAAGGCTTTGCTCTTTAATTCAGATCTGGCCCCAAAACTTGAGGGAGGAGCTGAGAAACAGGAGCCCTTAGCCTGGATTCAAAATAGAAGCTTCTTAAACTTCTCTTCCTTTAAATCCTTAGGAATCCCCATTCACTGTGAGCCCCTGGGGATCTGAGCTGCTGAGGTCAGGGCTTTCCCCGGCTTTGGGTTTTGTTCTCTGTCTCTCTTCGGAGGGGAGTTGTCTTGGCCTCCTCCTCCCCCAAGGCTGCCCTGTGAACTGTTTCCCTGGGCTAGCAGCTTCAGTGGCCTGAGGCCTCTTCTGTCTCCCTTCCGACGGTCGGAGAGGCCTTCTTACCTTGTGGATTACTTTAGTTACCTGCGGATTTGGGGGATGTGAGAATTTATCTCAAGCCCCATCACCTTCATATTCAAGGGTGTATGGTTGGGTCAGATTCACTGGTTTCAGAATTGGGGAAAGACAGAAATTAGAGGCCTCCTTCATCCTCCAGGACTTTGGGTAAGGATTTGGGGACTGTACTAGAAAAACCCCAGAGAGAGAGCGAGCCCGTGAATTTTCCTTGGGTCTTGCTATGCCCCCTTTACAGAGCCTTCCCCTGGGGAGCCTCCCTCCCGGTTATCCAGCTGAAGCAAGGACTGTGATGGCTACAGCAGAATTTCACTCTTAAGACAACAAAGCTGTGCCCAGTTCCCTAGTTATTTTGGCACCAAATACACAGTTTCCAGGGAAACCGGCTTTTCCCCCCTCCCCTTCACTATGCAGGATATTACAATAAGATTTTCACTGATGCTCAGCTACAATGAGGGCCCTCCTCCCAGCCTCCTCTCTGGGCCTTCAGATCCTCCCAGGTGGCATTCTTCAATTTTGCAGTCCCTTTACTTTCTGAGCGCGGCTTGGGATGCGTGTCTCTGTCTATCCCTCTTTCTCAGCAATGGCTGGGGCTCTTTTTGTGCGGGGCTCTTTTGAGTCTTCCTCCCCAACCCTCGCTGGCTTTGGGCTGTTGGTTGACAAGTTTGGACCGGTGGGGCGTGCCGAGAATGACTGACTGAGTAGGCAGAGGAGCTGATCGCTGGCATGGCTTCTCTTGGGCTTTGCCTAATCCATTTCCCGATCATTTTCCAAGGAGCTTTTGCTGTACAGCTGGTGCCTGCATCTCCTGGACCCCCTGCCCCTTCGTCCATCAGTTTTCTTCCCCTAACCAACAGATCCCGGTTCATTTGCTCCTTCGTGACTTAACCAACTTGTTTTAATTCAAATATCCAAACAGATTTCAACTATGAGTACGTACAGAGAGAAGCTCTCAGGGTTCCCCTGATATTTCGAGAAAAGGATGGACTGGGAATTAAGTAAGTTGCTGAAACTAATCGCTCCTTCCCCCGTCTTCCTCCCTAACATACTTTATAGCTTGGGATGGATTTCTTCCACCCTCTTCCCACCTCTCATCACTGAGAAGGATCTTTTTTCATGATCTGGGAACAGCATCTCCTTGTTCAAGGCCTAACAAAGGGGAAACACTCTCCAAAGACTGGTCTTTTGCAGGGACTTTGGGCAGAGAGAGGACATAGGGTAATTAAGCAGTGTTGACTTTTTCCCCTGACCCACCCCAGTTACACTCAGTGACCTCCTGCAGAGAACTGTACCTCTCCTCCTTCCCCTTGCTCCAGATCAGGAGACTGAGGTAGAGCCTGAACTGCAAAGGGACTAGCCAGTCTCTAAGCCCAGACCCAGGGCACCTAGATACATGTTTCTTACGCAGATTCCCACTATGTGTGTTTCCTGGGGTGCCAGTGTCTCCCCTTTCTTTGCCTGCCCCGCAGCCTGCCCCTGCACTATGTCTGTTTTCATTCACTGAGATCTGTCAGAGCTCCAGGTGGGGGAGAGGTCTGGGAGGCAGGCTGGAAGAACAGGTTTGTGCCCCTTGGGCAGGTGTAGGGGAGGAGGCTTGGGGTGTCGTTCCAGGCAGCCTCTCTCCAGCATCTGCTCCCAGACTTGCTCAAGAGTCCATTCCTACGAGTAGGATTTAAACCTTGGGCATCATGGTTAATTAATAGTGAATTGTAGCCCGTATTACCACATCCCTGGAACTGGTACAATGCGTGTCTTTTTTTCCCTCTGAGCTTAAAGGGGTCTGTCCCAGTTTGCATACAACTCCTTATGGAGAGTATTTTCTAGAGGGAGAAAGAGACCTAGAGAGGACTACCCACCCTAAAAGAAAGCAGGCGTTTGAATGTCTAGCCCTGGCCTTTACTTTTGACCCTGCACTTCCGGCTTCCCTGGAAAAATGGGGTGGACAGTGGTTGTCCCAACCTCTGCTGAGGTTCAGGTTTGAGTTGCCTCTTAGGGTAGGGAAGGGCCTCAGTGGTTCTGGGGTGACCCTCCCTGCAGGCATCAACTGGTCTACTTGCCTCCCTCTGGATGGTCTCATTTTGAGTTCCCAAACCGAGGGCAAAGGGCCTCTCTTGGAAAAATGGCTTCCCCCCGGGCCCAGGGTAGAGTCTAGCTCTGCTGTTTCTGGCCTCTCACCAAACGTCTGTGCTCCTCTTTCCCCAGGATGCCTGACCCTGATTTCACAGTCCGAGACGTCAAACTCCTAGTGGGTAAGTCGCTTGCCGTGTGTGTGGCTCAGAGATGCTGAAGTAGGGAAGGGGAAAGAGGCGGTCACCGCCTGCCCATTTAGACTTTTAACTGCCTCTAAAAACAAAGTCCCCACGGGAGGAGGCAGGAGCAGGTGTGAGCTGCAACCGTTTCATCTTGGAGAACAGGTAGGATTGCAAAGTCATAAGAAGCTGTATCAGAGGGCGTTTGCCAGTACGCAGTTTTATGAGGCCCATTTGGACACTGCCTCCAGCCTGGGTGTCAGCGATGCAATCTGAGATCTCTCCTCCGCATTTGTTTGTGGGTTGCCAGGTAAACACTGGGTGCTTTATGATCCCTCATAGACTTTCAGGCTTTTGAAGGGAGGGGCTATTCCTCCTGCTTCCTTGGGGTTCTTGACCGGCCTGGGGCAGGGCTTGGAACTGCGAGCTTAGCAAATGCACATGAGCTCCCTGAGCACCTGCAGGTGGCTGATGACTTAGTACTCTGGATGCTCGGCCAGGTAGTAGGTGGCATTTCAGATCTTACAGGCAGTTGTTCAATCAATCTATTCTTTCTAGAAAAACACTTTTTGGCTACTTGGTGGCCAAGGTCAGAGTTGCGAACGGATGGATAAGTTCCCTGCCCTCTTGGTGGGTACAAGAGGCAGTCAAGAAGTAAACAGTAGGCTGAGGTGGTGGCTCACGCCTGTAATCCCAGCCCTTTGGGAGGCTGAGGCGGGAGGATCACAAGGTCAAGATTTAGAGACCAGCCTGGCCAACATGGTGAAACCCCGTCTCTACTAAAAATACAAAAACTAGCCGGGCATGGTGACGGGCGCCTGTAGTCCAAGCTATTTGGGAGGCTGAGGCAGGAGAATAGCTTGAACCTGGGAGGCAGAGGTTGTGGTGAGCCAAGATCGTGCCACTGCACTCTAGCCTGGGCGATGGAGCGAGACTCTGTCTCCAAAAAAAAAAAAAAATTAGCCAGGTGTGGTGGTGTGTGCCTGTAGTTGTAGCTACTTGGGAGGCTGTGACGGGAGGATCGCTTGAGCCCAGGAGTTCCTGCCTGCAGGCCATGATTGCGTCACTTCACTCCAGCCTGGACAACAGAGCAGGACCCTGTCTCTAAAGTAAATAATAGTGATAAAATGCAATGTCTTTTCTGATGGTTACAGGGCTATGTAGAAATAAACAGAATAATGGCATGGCATGTGGTGGGGCTGCATTTTAGATGGGGTGGTCAGGGAGGGCCTCTCTGGGATGAAGGGGGGCATTTGAACAGAGACCTGACTGATGAGAATCAGCTGTGGGAAAAGACATTCTAGACTGAAGGAAGAGCAAGGGCACCCAGAAGGTGGGGATAAACTTGGAGTGTGGAGGAACTGAGTGAGTGAGTGAGTGAGTGAGTGAGAAAGCGGCAGAAGAGGTGGCAGAGGCCCTGGAGCTGGGATGTGAAGGCCTCCCAGGGCCCTGTAGGGAATTTGGGTTTGACTTCTAGTGTGTTGGAAAGCCACTGGGGAGCTTTAAAGTGGGGTGAAGGGAGTATCTCTGTGATCTGATTATTTTCTTGGGATGGGTTTGAAACGTTTTTATTTAATTTTATTTGTATGTTTTAGAGACCAGTCTCGTGCTTTTGTCCCAGCTAGAGTGCAGCGGCATGATTATGACTCACCATAGCCTGCAACTCCTGGGCCTAAGTGATCCTTCCGCCTTAGCCTCGAGAATAGCTGGGACCACAGGCATGTACCACCACACCCAGTTATTTATTTTTGTAGAGATGGGGTCTTGCTACGTTGCCCAGGCTGGTCTTGAACCATGCACCTGGCCACATTTAAAAAACTGAGATGAGCAGCCAGGCGCTGTGGCTCACACCTGTAATCCCAGCACTTTGGGAGGCTGACGCGGGTGAATCACAAGGTCAGGAGTTCGAGACCAGTCCGGCCAACATGGTGAAACGCCGTCTCTACTAAAAATACAAAAAATTAGCTGGGTGTAGTGGCGGGTGGCTGTAATCCCAGCTACTCGGGAGGCTGAGGCAGGAGAATCGCTTGAACCCAGGAGGCAGAGGCTGCAGTGAGCCAAGATCTTGCCACCGCACTACAGCCCAGGCGACAGAGTAAGACACGGTCTCAAAAAAAAAAAAAAAAAATTGAGATGATATTCACATACTATAAAAGTTGTCACTTAACCATTTTAAAATGTACAAGTTAGGTTGGGCGCGGTGGCTCACACCTATAATCCCAGCGCTTTGGGAGGTCGAGGCAGGCAGATCATTTGAGGTCAGGAGTTCAAGACCAGCCTGGCCAATGTGGCGAAACCCCATTTCTGCTAAAAATACAAAAATTCACCAGGTGTGGGGGCATATTCCTGTAATACCAGCTACTTGGGAGGCTGAGGCAGGAGAATCACTTGAACCTGGGAGGCAGAGGTTCCAGTGAGCTGAGATCGCACCACTGCACTCCAGCCTGAGTGACAGAGTGAAACTTTCCCCAAAAAAGAAAAGGCGCAAGTCGTTGGTTTTAGTATATTCACAATGCTGTATAACCATCCCCGCTCAATTCCAGAATATTTCTATCACCCCAAAAAGAAACCCTGTATCTCTCAGTTCCCCCATCGCTCAGATTAGCACGACCACTAATCTGCCTTGTGTGTCTATGAAGTTGCTGATTCTGGACATTTCATTCAAGTGGAATCATAGAACACACAATCCTTTGTGTCTGGCTCCTTTCACTTGGCGTCATGTTTTCAAGGCTCATCCATGTTGTAGCATGAGGCAGCACTTCACTCTTTTTCTTGGCTGAATAATATTCCATTGTATGGATAGACTACATTTTGTTTATCCAAAAACATTTGTTTTTGGACCACAGTTGTTGATGGACATTTTGGTTGTTTCTACTTTTTGGCTATTATGAATAATGTTGCTAAAAATATTCATATACAAGTTTTTGTTGAACATACATTTTCACTTGGGTATATCCTTGGGAGCAGAATTGCTGGATCACGTGGTAACTGTGTTTCACTTACTGAGGAACTGCCAAACTGTTTACCAAAGCGGCTGTGTCATTTTACACTCCCATCAGCAGTGTGTGGGGGTTCTGGTTTCCCTACATCCTTGCTAACACTTGTTATTGTCTGTCTTTGACGATCGCCATGCTAGTGGCTCTGCAGTGAGGTCATTTGATTGAAGTTTTGTAGATGCCAACTCTGGTGTCTGTGTGTAGGATGAAAGCAGCCGGCTGGTGTGTCAGATGTGTCAGATGATCCAGCCAGAATAATTGACCTAAAAGCATGTTAAAGATATGCAGGCTCGATGCAGTGGCTCACACCTGTAGTTCCAGAACTTTGGAAGGCCAAGGTGGGAGGATCGCTTGAGGCCAGGAGTTCAAGACCAGCCTGGGGAGCATGGCAAAACCTTGTCTCTACAAAAAACACACAAATGGGCCGGGCGCGGTGGCTCAAGCCTGTAATCCCAGCACTTTGGGAGGCCGAGACGGGCGGATCACGAGGTCAGGAGATCGAGACCATCCTGGCTAACACGGTGAAACCCCGTCTCTACTAAAAATACAAAAAACTAGCCGGGCGAGGTGGCGGGCGCCTGTAGTCCCAGCTACTCCGGAGGCTGAGGCAGGAGAATGGCATAAACCCGGGAGGCGGAGCTTGCAGTGAGCTGAGATCCGGCCACTGCAGTCCAGCCCGGGCTACAGAGCAAGACTCCGTCTCAAAAAAAAAAACAAAACAAAAAAAACACACAAATGGCCAGGCGCAATGGCTCACGCTTGTAATCCCAGCACTTTCGGAGGCCGAGGTGGACGGATCACCTGAGGTCAGGAGTTTGAGACCAGCCTGGCTAACATGGTGAAACCCTGTCTCTACTAAAAATACAAAAAAATCAGCCAGGAATGGTGGCGGGCACCTATAATCCCAGCTAGTTGAGGGGCTGAGGTAGGAGAATTGCCTGAACCCTGGAGGCAGAGGTTGCAGTGAGCAGAGATTGACCGTGGTACTCCAACCTGGGCAACAAGAGCGATACTCTGTCTCAAAAAAAAAAAAAAAAAAAAAAAAAAAAACCCACAAAACCCCAAAACACGACAATTAGCTGGGCTTGGTGGCATGCGTCGGTAGTCCCAGCTACTCAGGAGGCTGAGGTGGGACAGATCACTTGAGCCTAGGAGTTTGAGGCTGTAGTGAGCCAAGATCACACCACTGCACTCCACTGCACTCTGTCAGGGCAACAGAGCGAGATCCTGTCTCAAAAAAAAAGAAAGCAAAAGAAAAAAGAAAGCAGGAGCAGTCATCCAGCCCCACTCCCTTGGTATTTCTGTGATGGTCAAATGGAGCGATGAATGTTCAAGTGCTTTGCAGAGGGACAGCTGCTCTGGACGCTGAGGGAGGCTGCAGTTGGCATGGGGAATGATGCCCATTTCGGTCTCTGAGCTGCACACAGGCTTCCAGAGAGTGGCGATAGGGCACATTTGTTATAAGTGACCTAAGTGACAAATGTAACTCTAGCTGTCCTAAGCAAAAGGGAATTCATAGGCTTAGGTTGTAAGTTCAGCATGTAACCTCCAGGGACAAATATGTCTGGATGCTCCAAAGTGATCTTGAGAAGTTGAGTCTGTTTCTCCTTTCTGCTTCCCACTTCCACTCCCTCTTTCCGCTTCATTCTTGGCAGGCTTCTCCCCATGGGAGGGTAGGGAGGGTGGGTGAAGAAGGGGCCCACAGCAGCTTCAGGCGTCTATCCTGCCAGCTCAGGGTCCTTCCCAAACCCTCGGTTGTTCCCTTAAATGCCTCTGGATTGGCTCTGACAGTCTTAGCACAGCCTTGAGCCAAACTGGAGCTGCTGGCTGGGGTCAGCCCAGCAGAACCACGTGGACTGAAAGTGGGGAAGCAGTGATTCTCCAGGGTTGCTGGGTGACATAAACACAGCCCTAACAGACGTGACAGTTCTGCTTTGGAGGGCAGTGTGTGGGGAAGGCTGGGCCAGCCCTCCCCTCCCAGTCATTGCGGGGTCGCAGCCTCTC